TTTTTTTTTTTTTTTAATGGCTAAACAAAAAGTCGACTCTTTTTCCAGGAAGGTTCAGCCTGATTCATGGTATGTGACTGTGAATCCGTTCTTTAGGATTCCTCCGTGCATGCAGACTGTTATGGCAGCCACGTCTCCGTGCGTCCCGTGGACGAACAGCTCCAGCTGCATCCATAGCCTGGAGCAGCCGAAGGTATCGAGGTACAAGCGGTTGGACCCCATGCCTCTGGTCATRTTTGCATTACAGATTCCCCAAGTCAAAGCAGGTCTTACAGGCCTGCTCTAGAGTCTCAAAATAGACCACATTAAGAGGGCAAAAGTGGTATTGTCATTTACACCTATTTTTTTTTTTTTAAAGTTCTCTTTCCTTCCCAGAAAATCCAATGCATAGAGAAAGCCAACTCAGAATTTCCTGAATCCCAGTGCCTTTAGACAGCAGGGGTAATCAATAATAAAACCATCTGTTGAAAAAAAAATCCATTAAAGTCAAAGAGAGATCGTGCACTTGTTGAAGCCAAATCACTGCTGTGTGAATTCTAATCCTGTTCCCAAAGAATATCCATCCTAGGCAGTATCAGCAAGCACAATGCCAGCAGGTCCAARGGACTGATCCTTATTCAGTACTTATTACCCCAACAGGAGTGCTGTGCCCACTTATGAGCTTACCAGTACAAGAAAGACTGGGACATACTGGAACAAGTCCAGYGGAAGCCCAAAGATGCATGTGGCCTTATAGGCCCTATAAGAACCTGAGAGAATTGCATCTATTCAACCATAAAGAAAAAAGTCTCAGGGGAGAGCAGACCTTACATACATCTGCAGATCAGAGGACAGAGAGAAGGTGGAGCCAAACACTTAAGGCGCACTAAAGGATGAGCTAAAAAAGAAAGAAAAAGAAAAATCCAACTAGATTTTTTGGGGGGGAGGAATGACTAGTGGACAGGTCACCCRCAGAAGTGGAGTGTTCTCCAGCCTTGGAGGCATTCAAGACTCAGCTGCAACTGTACAAGTCCCTGAGCAACCTGGTCTATTAGACCTGCKTTGCGCAGAGGCTTGGCCTAGATGAGCTCCTTTCCAGACTAAATTATTTAATGATTCTATGAGTCCATGAACTGCCCCAGAGATTGCCACTTGACTTGACATAGTCCAAACCCAGGCCCCTTCCTCCATTATACACTACTGTAAACACCCACCCCAGTAGACAGAGTTATAGACAAGACCTAGACCACAGTGATGACTCAGGAAACAGGACATCATTCCAGGAAGACAGCAGCGTGACCATTAGGTTGATAGGACAAAGCTAAGCTTATTAGGTTGATATGACATAGCTAAGCTAAGCTTAGTTATTTATGGGAAATATTTCACAGGGCCACGTAAAGCAAAAACCACGTAAAGCAAAAACCAACTATTGTTGGGACAGTAAAAACAAAAACACCACAGAACATTCTCCCTGCACCCTACATCTGCAGGACACTCAGGAGCCAGAAGTGCCTTCAGGTCACCTAGTGCAACCCCCTGCTCAAAGCAGGTCTCATTGGATGAGGTTATTTAGGACTCACCCAGCTGAATCTTCAACTTCTCCAAGGATACAGATATCCCTAGTGAATGGTTCTGTCATGAGTTTTTCCAGTCACTTTATGGTCCCAGGTAGATTTTTACCTTCTGTACCATCCTACAGAAAGACATTCCACAGTTTAGCTGTGAGCAGCAGAAAGCAAAATAAGTTGTTGCATATTTTAAAATTCTCCATTGCTATTTAATTCTGCCCCAGTTGTTATGGGCAGAAGAGGCAGGGAACAACCAGCAATGAATTCCAACCTCCTTAGCCAGCTAAGCAGCACCCAAAGGAACAGCAGCTTCGAAATTCTCTAGTGCTCTCCACATTGCTCAGTGTGAACCTTTGTTTATTATAAAGCTGCAGTATATCAAAAATGCTTTTTTAAAAAAAGGAAAAAAAAAATAAGAAAAATGGTACAACACAGTAAACTAGCAACACAAAATCTTTAATCTCCTATGCTTCAGCAAAGTAGAAATCATTAAAACACTGAAAGTTGTTGCTGTTAAAAGAATTAAAATAAAAGAGCAATAGAAGTCTATAATCTGTGAGATTCATTTCCCCAGGGCATCGAAAGCATAGCTAGATATTTACATGCATTGTCCATAAGGTGCATTATAAAGTCCAACAAGAGATGCTGAAGCTCTGGAATCTCAAGTGGTTCCGCTCTGAAGAGGTTTAAGAAAATATTTACTGCACAATCTACCCACAAAGGAAAATGGATGAAAGAAGAGATGAGCACAGTTCCAATCTCTGCAATTCTGCCTTGAGACTCAGGAAAGGAAGTTAAATAATAATAATAAATGCTGAGGTTAGACAGCCCATTGTTTGGGTCCACTGGAATTAAGAGGTCTTGTTCCCCTCGAGCACCAACCCTCGGTTGGAGGAGTTCAGGAACAGGTACTGCACCAAGTCACACAACCAAACTTTACTCCTGGAATCTCCCAGCTGCATCCAGCACCCATATGKACCTACTGAGGGAGAAAGCAGGGTTATATGCCTTCATTTCTTACCAAAGCACCTGGAAGGCAGATATCTGCTGGGTAAGGTCCTGAGAAAGCACCAGCTGTGGCAGCACTTTGTAGGAGAAGTTCTTGTTCCTACTGATGGATGTTGTGTGAGTATTACATGTATCAGTCCTTCTGTCCCAGGCTCTGCTCTAAACTAGGCAGTGCTAGAAACGCTACCTAAAGAAACATGGTTTCTGAAGGCATCTCACATCATTCCAGGAGATTCCCATCTTCTGGACTCCAGCTTCAAAGAAATGTCATTTTYTCTACTCTTGATTAGGGGGAATAAGCAGGTTTCAGACTCAGCGGACACAGCAGGATCATGATATAAGTCTGTGAGAACGAACATTTCAGCAAGGCTAAGACCTTCTTGAGCACCGGAATGCAAGGCAGGCAAGGTGGTGCTGAATCCCCAGCTAGACAGAAGGACAGGGAATGGGTGATAAAGGGGCAAGAAACCACGGAAATTATGRGGAAAGTGGGCTCATCAGTGGAGAGGAGTGGCCCAAGAATTTGAGTATTCATTTTAATGAAAAACAATATGGAGTTGCATCTAGTTTGCTTGTCTGGTTTTTATTTACCCTTCCTCCCCTCTTTGGAAAAGCATCACAGAGCAAACCAGCCCAGAAGGGAAACTAGCCTGATAAATAGACCATCAAGAGAAATAATTACTCCAGATAGGAAAATTAAATAGGGGGAGCCACTAATCAGCTGCTCCCTCTGCAAAGGGGAGGCTGGGAAAGTAATTTAAAAAAAACCTCTTGGAGGAGACTCCGAGGCAGAGCGTAAAGTGGAAATGCAGATGGCCAGAAAGGAGAGCAAGGCTGTGCGCGGGGGACCAGGTGGCATTGGTTAGAGCAGCGCTGCCTCCCACCCCGCTTACCCCCTACAACTCTTCCCATGGCTTCGCCTTCTGCTTGGGGAGAAAGAGCAAGAGCGCGCTGCGCCTCCGAGCTGCCGGGGTCGTCTCCAGCTGGGAGAGATGCTGCTCTGCTTGCACCCCACTGCCTTCCAGGGGCTGCACGCGGAGCCCCTGTCACCAGCAGGATGATCTTAATGTAGGCCAAGCTCAGCGCCGGCCTCACAAGCAGAGGGGTAGCCCAGCACCCCAGAGCCCCTGCCAGCTAAATAAAACCATCAGAGCCTCCTTTGCTCCACGCTCTCCCAGAGAACGAAGCTCTGCTAGGATCAGACCGAGTCAATCCACCACCAAGGCATGGGGGAACACACAGAGCTCAGCTTTTTTCTCTGAACAGAYTCCTTTTTGCTCCCTGTTCCTCCCCTACAAGCAATAAGGAGCAGTGTGATCATTAGTTCACATCACCAGCTTGGTGCTCCGTCGACCACCATCGTTGTATCTGGTCACCTGGAAAGGCCACCCATCCCAGCAAGCAGGGGAACACGCCAGCAGGTCTGCACTGGTGCCACCAACCCAGCAACGGTGCCACCATCTGAAACGCTGGAAGTCCTGAAGGGAAATGAGGACAGACAAGGCTTTGGAGCACAAACAGGATTTTTCACCCCAAGGACGTTTGTATCTTGGGCTTTCCTTCAGCTTGGGAAACTCTAGCTGACTGAAGCCCAGGGCTAGKCAAACTCATGTCTCCTAGAATGGAATCCATTACAGAGCTGGAATGCCTCTAATTATGCTAACACTAATAACGTTAGCTACTAAAATAGCTCAGAAAAGGATAAGTTACAAGCGTGGTTTTCAGCCTGTRGATTTCAAATGTATGGAGGTTGCCAGGAGGGGTTGAGGGCAGGGACACCACCTATTTCTTTCGTCTCGTGTCCATCTAAGAAGCTCACACACCACTTTCAGATCCAGGCACGTAAAGATTAGACGTTTCGGTTCCTAGGTAGGCACCTAAATATGTGGCCCAGAAGAGGTGAACGGAAAGATTTTTCTTTTTTTAGACAGAAGMAGCTTGTTTACCACAGATAGAAACGATCGGGTTTCCTTCCTTTTCTATATGTGAAATCATGTACCTTGTGAAGGCTTTCAAGAAAAGGAAAAAAAAAAGGTATTTTTTTTTTTTAATACAAAAACCCAGACTTCTGTCTACCTCATATAGAAAAAGGGAAGTTCATACCAGGTTACATCTGTCAGTGCTCAACAACCAGGARTCCTGACGATGCCTCCAATCCCTCACTAAGTGATGCATTATGGAAGAGGACCTGGCTGAACCCCTCACCCAAAGGAGAACAGAGGAGCCTGAAGAAATCTGGTGCCATACTTGATGGAGGTTTTTTTTTTTTTTTTTTTGGCTAACATTAAAGTTTTCCATAGAAAAATGAATTCCCACCCAAAATACAGTTTATACTCCAACCAAATCCTCTCTGATTTATGGATCAGGATGATGGTCAAGATTTTTTTTCTTCTTTTAATATCGGAGGCAGGAGCAACTCCCTTCAAATTCAGTTTTCAAAGGGAAGGTTGTCCTTTTCACTCAGTTTTGGAGGTTTTCAGGACTGTTGATATTTGCTTAAAAATAAATAAGAGTTTGAAACTATTTGTGTTCCTCAGAGTATTGCTGCGAGGCTTCAAACCAACTCAAAAGTCAAACCTCGCAGATCTGGGCAGGGGGGAAAGAGCATTTAGACACAAGACAGTTTTATATTGGGAGGCAGGGACACAGCGAAGGGCAGAAGTATGTGATCAAATGAACTAAAAAAAAAAGACATGTGTAGACAGGAAACTTCAAATGAAAGGATTTTCCCTTTAATAGGCAGGGCTCTTTCATGGGACTGGCAATTCCTAATGCCACCATCAACAGGAAGAGCTGAAGAAGAAATGCACTCACACCCATGATAGGTTTTGGTAACATGGAGATCATAGTTAAAAATACAAGACCTTGCTAAAACGTAGGGAAAATCACGTTTCTAAAGGCATGCCAGTGACCTGCAGCTCCTAATATAGTGCAAAGGGACGTGAAGTCCAGCTGTTCATACACACAAATTACAGAAGATTAGTATGACTCAGTTCGCTACCTTTCCTAAATTTGTCCCCTCTGGAAATAAAATGCCAATTGTTCAAACAGAAGAAGCTGGGGAGGGAAAATAGCTATTTTCCTATGATTTTGAAGGCTCAGTGACACGCTTTGTAAGTAGCCCCTTGGATTTTGTTGCACTTCAGCTCTACCTGTGGTGAGCAGATCCTTTCCCAGACATTGCAATAAAGGAGACTGCAAAGAAGTCCTGCTGGCAATCGCACTGAAGATGAGGGAAATCATCCTCAGCTTCAGATAATATCAGTCCTGACTGAGAACCTACTGTAAGAAATGTTATAAGAGCAGATGGGGTCAGTATTTCATAGGCAAATTCAATGCAAGCTTCACCTGTGACTGTCCCTGTGATGAATGTCCCTGGGCTGGAAGTATGCGCCACCTCCTACAGACTTACAAATTCTCAAGACACAGAAAAGTTATTTCTATTGCTTATTAAAATCCATTTTTCCCCCAAAACCTGTGGTTTACAACCACTAAAAAGCAGTCTTATTCCAACAGCACATTTCCTGRTTTTCCACATTTTCTTCTGCGAAGGCAAAAAAAGGAAAACAAGACAGTTTGGTCACCCCTTCCTGGGCCCATTTTACGTTTGAAAAAAGTAGAAGAAATTAGAGAGGAAGGAAAACAGAGGAATAAAAAGCAAAAGCTGAAAAAGACAGCAAGGGAAAACCAGTATTCTTCAAAATTAAGATGACTGTTCAAAGCTCTCTGCAAAGCTCCTTTTAACGAGGAGCCAATTCTCCTCTGAAGCCTGCAGGGTAACTACTCTGAAGCGTCACAGAATTAGTTTCACCTCAAGCAAGTTAGAGAGTGATGAGCCATGGCCAAGTCTGAATAAACGGCTGTAAATCGAGATCCCCTGGCCCCCTTCCAAGCTGGCCAGACACAAGGCAGTTCTGGTCTTGAAGTCACATACCTTGTGCATCTCGGCTAGCAGCGGATCGTGACTCTGTCTGCGTTCATCGTGTGCTTGCTAGCAAAGCCTCAGCAGAGCACCGAGGTGCTTAAGGGCTTGGTTCTGTAAATGCATCCCTAACGGGTTTCAAACCACTCGCTTGACCCCAAAACAACCAACAAAAAAAATTGCTTTTCACTTCCC